GTAATAGTTATTTATGTCATATTACCTATTGCATAGGTATATATATGTTTTTTCATATTTTCGACAATGTATAATAGTATTTTATTTACTTTTTTTTTTTATAGGTAACATACAATTTTAATTTTGTCAATTTTTGTATCTCACTTATAGGTAGTCTTCTAATTTATGTTCCTAACTTATAGGTAACACAATTTATCACTAAGTATTTTTTGTTGCTAATAATAACCTATATGTCAGGTACATAATTTAATGTTGGTGCTTGTCTGATCAATTGATATAATATGTGGGTCTTTACTTTTTATTGATTAAATTATATTTTATCCATATATTATGAATATTATCAAGGAAAGAATTCAAAATTTAAATTTTGGAATTCAATTACAAAGAAATAATGCATTAAATTTAGATTTCAATGTGTTTTCCTTATTTACTTCAAAAGGTAAAATCGACACAATAAAAAAGTAATAAATGTCAAAGGACCTACATCTAAAACCAAAAAAGCGAGGACTAAACCCAATGACAGCTAATCGTTTTGGACCTAAATCTAAGAAGCCCTAAAAACAAAGATATCTTCGAGCAAGACTAATGGCATGTTTACTAATTTGTAATTGGAGAGAGGAATTGAATTGAAGAGTTGTCAAAATTCGGATTTCCGTTGAAGCTGTTTACTAAACTATCTAAAATCGGAGTATGAATGATATTGATTCTCTATATGTTGTTTACTAAAAGACTTACAAAAAAAATCCGATTAAAAAAGATAGAAAAATTTATGAACTTAACAAATAACTTTACTTTTAATATTTTAAAAATATATATATATATGAACATTGGTCATCTCATTCCTTCGTTTGAAGATATTTCATTCAAATGCGTCGGCAGGATCACCAATTAAACTTGTCTCACATTTGAGCACACTTGTGTTCCAAGTCTAATCATTTAGCTTTTGTAATTGAAAAAAGCATATGATTGGACAATAACACCTCAGTTATAACACAACAGAGCTAACTTATATATTATTTAGTGCATCCTCTAAGGCATATGAATGTCACTTTCTCATACAACTTTCATGCTCGAGCTAGGGTATTTTGGTCATTTTACATGGCATGCCACGGTTTCTTTCCCCTTGTATTTTTCAGAGACGTGTTGATGAGGCTGTGCTTTGGTGATAATTGACCATCTCACATGACATTTGTTTGAAAAACATGGAGGAGGAGGAGGAGGAGGAGGAGGGTGGAGTTGCAGAAGTGCTCACGGAACCATGATTAAAACATCAACAGATTGTCTGCGACACATGCGACTAAAACATGACAACCCTTTGTCCCCTTGTGATGTGTTTTTGTATCATGTGTTAGAAGAATGTGGCATTAAATGACAAATTGAGTGATTGAACTTTAAACATGATAAAACATATAATTATTATTTTGTTTTTGTTTGCTTCACTATATTTAAGCGTGGGAAGTGAAAAAGTTGTTGGAATCTTAAGAAAACGAGAACCTCAAAATATCCCCCCAAAAAAAAAAATCAAGTTGGAGGATTGCCATGTTCCCTTAAGGTTAAGGCTGCTTCTTCACACAAAATGTGCTTTGGATGACTTATTTTCCTTTTTCATCGAATTGTGTTAAGAAGTTCCTTTCTTTTATCAATAGAGAGCATCCGAACCCTAAAAGATCTTCTAATCTCATAAAGAAAGGTATCATTATACTTGAAGTTAGTTGATATTTATTTTTTACACAAAAGATATTGATGTACATGTGAAATCAGATACAAGACATTGACTATATGAGTAAATATTTTGACGCTTTAAGCTACAAACCTGTAACAAAACTAGCAAACACTATCATATGATATAAGCCCCCGAAGTCATAGGACCATCCTCGCACTTTGGTATGTTTTGTGACTTCGGGGGCATGTGATATTACGGTTACATACAAAATTTTCTCCCTTTTGAGGCTTCATCTAAGAGTGATTCTAGCAGCTCCGAGCAAGGTGGGGGCCTAGGCCCAAAAAGGGCTTCCAGCGGACAAATGCTACCACGGCTGTTGGTGGGCTCTACAAGCCTAGGCTGGCCCTCAGGCAAACCCAGCCCTTGCTCTAGTTTGGGTTTGCTGACGTCAGCGATGACGTCAACAACAAAAAAAAACATCTAAAAAAAAAATTAAAAAATACTAAAAACTTCATAATTTTTTTTAAATAAATACTTAGTCATATTTTTCACTTCTCACGCCAAAACTCTATACAAATTTCTCTCATCGTATCTCATGTGAATAGTAGTTGTCATGACAATGAATGGAAACACTACAAGCTTTTTGCAATGACTGCCACTATTCACGTGAATAATAATAGTCATTGTCTCCCCTTGTTCTTTACCGTGACAAATGGATGAAAGTGCTCTAATAATGGGGTACATAGAACCGTCCTCATAATTTCACTTATGACGCCCCAAAGTCATAGGACTGTCCTTACAATGTCCTATATCCACATTACAAAAAAAACATGAAAACGAAACACAAGCCTTATCAAAGAAACCCTTACCGATTGATAAGACATCACCATTATGAAATAACCTTATCTTATCAAACAATTCCCAGACTTACTTATCTACCAATTCAAGGAAATTATCATTATAGAATGCGGAACCCACTAATTTTTAGATAAATTATAAAATACTACGGTAGTACGGTCACGTGGTATATCTTATAAACATGTTATAATATGGGTAAACGATAGAGTTTATTTCCCCCCTTTTAGGGAATAATATCTATAAATATCCACTTATATTATAATACATGTACAAGATATTATATATATCCTGTGACTGTATTACTGTAGTATTCTATAATCTCTCTAATTCTTGCTACTTAACAGATTTAAAGTTTTGCAGTTTTCAGTTGAAATTTATTTGATAATAATGGCCTATCATTTGCCATTTAAAATAAAATAAAAATTAATACAGCAAAAAGTGGACTTAAATTAATTAAAGCAATTATATATTTTTAGGCATAACCAAAAAGATGGAGAGGCATCTAAAGCTTCTCTATTAAATAATAATAATAAATAATTTTTATAAAAAAAACCCAGCATCAGAAATGAGAATAAATTAGTGATTAGTGACTCTGGTTTCTCTCCAAAATGCTAAATGAATATGACAATTAACACACACATGCACGTCAAAAGCTAATTGGAAGCAGCATCTAAAGCACACGCTTACTGTCTGATTAATAATAATAATTATTATTATTTTTTAAATAATTGTGCGGGTTAGCAGGTAGATCTCATAGAATTAATTACTATTTTAACCACAACTTCATTAATTCCTGATGCCTTGATGTACATGTGTTTGAGAACTTGCAGAGCTCAAACTGTTCCCTGCACGTGGGACTTGTTCCTTCACAACATGAGCACTTCCAAGGTAAACCTTCTTCTTCTTACCAAGGCCTTCCTTTGTTTTTTTTTAAGCATTCATCACCCCACTTGCTGACTTTAACCATAATTCAACCTTTATTTTTGACTAACTTTTCATTTGTTACCTGTAGTACCCTTCACCTTTTGATTTTTTTAATATTAAGTCTAAGATATTTTGAGAATCATAAGAAAATTATAAGTTCGTTCTAGTACAAATCGTAAACCTTAAACATTTAACATTTGAAGTCCTCGGGGTTAATCCGAAGGGTGAAGAAGTGTGTGGCATTGAGTTATAATTACGGCAGGTTAAATGCATGATCCTTTTAATGTAACAAGATGAAGAGGAAGTGTGTCTTAAGATATGAAGAGGAAGTGCGTCTTAAAGTTAATTCGAACGGTGAATGTGGTTATGCTTATGACACTCATTTTGATCATTCCAAGACTCATTTTGACTTATGGAAGCAATTTTGAAACCACAGTTTACGTTGAATCACAGTGGTAATTTGTAATTTTTGGCCATTTTGCTTTCAGTATTTTTGTGGTCCAAAAGTGGTAATGAATTGGATGACAAAAGTGTTCTTTCCTAGGCCATTGAACTCACCAGCCCGGTAAAGCAAAATATCTTTGCAATAATTCAAATTACGGGTAAATCTTCTCAGAAAAAAGAGGTTGGCTATGAAAGCTCCACATAACTAGCTCTGCAGAAGGTACACGTACACCAAATGAAAGCGAGGGTAGGTAGATCTGTAGTTTGGTGACCAAGTAAGATCAATCACCATCTCTTGCCTACACTGGTGGAAAAGTTGTATATATGATTTTGATGCTTGATTTTTTATCTTTGAGAATCTGTGAACCTAATTTTCTGGATTTCACCTTATCATCTACAGTTGATCATAGAACAATTGGTTCCAAATTCCAATATGTCAAACCTTAGAGAGAAACTAGAAGGCAGAAATTTGTCAAACCTTAGAGAGAAACTAGAAAGCAGAAAAACTAACGTGCAAATTATGTCGACCCATTGACAAAAATAATTCATTAAAAACAAAAAAAGAAAAGTTTATGCACACATGCCAAACTGTGATTGACAATAAAATACGAGTCCCTACTTTCACGGAATGGGGCAAGTATTTTCCAATTTTTATACAATGGTGAAGTAACTTGGTGATTTGCAATTTGTCAAACATGTATACAAGACAATATTTAATTTGTGTGATGATTTTTTTTGAGTCAAATAGAAAGAAGAGATGGCTTTGTTAAAAGTTTCTACACATGCTTGAGAGAAGACAATTTGAAGACAACTTAGTCAATATTATTATAAAATTACTTGAAACACAACTACATAAATAGCTATTAAACTCCACTTGAACAAATCATAACCCCATTTACAGTCTTTGAACCCAAAACCAAAACTATTTCTTTTACATTACACATAAATTATTCATTAGACACCATCTAATTAACAGTGAGATTCCACAACTCAGACTAAAACATAAAAGTTGAAATAGAACTAGAAACCTCTCTGGCTCTCCCTAAAACTTAATCAATCCAAAATCCAGATGATCCCATGGAGATCAGTAATGAAACATCTCTGCAGCAGAAGCCATGATTGGCTGGTTCAAATATGACAGATTCAATGGGTTGAAGAAGCTGTCAGTGGGCTCATTGAAGCTGCTTGAATCTCCAGCAGCAAAAACCCCATTGCTTGCATTCAAGAAACTCACAATCTCATTCAGAGACTGCAGTCTGTTGCTAAGCTCATCCGCTTGGGCTCTGAGAACAGAGTTCTCTGCCTCAATGTTCATGTAATGCTGGCTTGTGATGTTCACGCTGGTGATGATCTGATTGTTCTCCTTCTTCAGCTCAGCCATCTGAGCCATCAAATCATCCAAGTGCTTCTGCTTTCTCATCCTAGACCTCCTTGCAGATTCACGATTGGAAATCATTCTCTTTCTTTTTCTCTGGTCCATCAGAACCTGCAAGTCTTCTTCAGAACCAGAGTTTTGAAGCATGGAAGAACCTGAGGATGTCCCACTTGAAGAAGCCATTGAAACCACAGAAAAGTTTGCAGATTTTCACAGTAATTGAGAGCAACTCAGAGAGAGAGAGAGAGAACAGCAGGACCCAGAAACAAAATAAACTTAAATATTGCAGATAATAGAAGTAATAATAATATTATTGCAGATAGTAGCCTTATTATTAGCGTTTGATGAGAGCTTAAATCATGAAACGTAATAAAGCCAGTAAAGGAAAACAACTGAGAATGATTGAACTAAATGGGTCCTGCGCCTGAATGTAGAATTTATCATACACTCGAAAATAAGGATTTCACTCAGAACTGGAGACATGAACATCATACATCAAGAACCAGATGTTATGCATTAAGATAAGCTTCTGGAAACAAAAACCAGTCCCTGAGAAAGTTCGTGAATTTGGGTATTTGAAAGAGTCTCGGAAAACCCAACCCAGAATAAAAGTTGGAAACTTTCTGAGATTTGAGATCAAGAAAGTGAGAAAAAATGGAGAAACCAGCTGGATTTCAAGATGGGTTTGGGGATTTTGACCCCAAAATCCCAACTTTAATAGCAAAATGGGAAAGCTAAGATGATGAAAGACTCAGATGGCTCAAATGGGTTTCTGGACTGCAGAAACACAAGCCAAGATCAAAGGAAACAATGGAAGAGAAAGCAAAAGGGAAGAGGGCATTGAGGGGTTTGGAAATGGAATTTATAGAACAAAAGGAACCAAATAGTTCGTCATAAAGATGAATTAATGAATTAAAATTTGGAAAAAGAAATATAAAAAATGAGAAAAAAAAAAAAACAAAGTGATAAAAGGACTTTGGAATCTCATATTATATAAAAGTGACGAGACATGTGAGGTGAGGAGAGAGAAGCCCTCAATCCACAACCGTCCAGATCCAGCTGGGAACCAACAATCTCATGTTATTTGTTAATCTTTTTATAGTGACGGATAGAGAATAGATAGGTAACTCACTCCTCTTCGTTCAACAGAAAAAAATATACAAATTTATAAATAAATTCAATTCTAGACATGTATTTATAAAAAAATTCAAGTACTATTTAAACATAGAAACACACCCAAAATTAACCCCAAAGTCAACTTTTTGGGTGTGTTTATAAATGGGTTTTGAGTGTGTGTAATGATGAGTTTTGGGTGTGTTTATATGTTTAAATAATGCTTGGGTTTTTTTATAATTTCACCCTCCATTTTAGGTGTTTTAGTGAAACTCCCAAAAGAATAAAAAGAAATTTTTCTATGTGACCGTGACACGGTGACGTGCTATAATTTTATCGAACTATGAACTGAGTTCGTTCAAATTATAATATACAATAAAATATCTAAATTTAATATTTTAATATGCGCATTATAAGTTGTGTTATGAACTTGTGACACGATGTCGGTATAAAGTGGTGTCACCATCACAAATGTAGGGTTGAAGATAATTAATATTGGTGTTATTTTCTTTGCGTTCATCTCCTTGATGATGTGAAGAAAATGTACTTCTTTTTCACCAGTTTTCATGCCGTATGCAATGGAGGTTCAACTTTACTTCTATGTATCCCAAGCTAAATTCAGAAGTAAAGAATTGCTTCTTCTGAAGTTTATGCTAAACAAAAACCATGGCCCATGACATTTTGGAGTAGCTGCTTTGTGAACTGTGTACAGAGAGAGCACAGTAGAAAATCATTTTACACTGCCCCCAATGTTGCCTATTTTTCACCAATTGTACAATATGGATATTTTTTTATATTTTCCAGACCAACAGCTATGTTTATATTATATTATATTATATTATATTAACGATTTGAATATATACAATTGTATAAATCACATTTCTAATTGTCTTTTCAGTGATCTTATTGGGCACATTACAAAACTACAAAGCTATAATCTTTGATCCCTGAATTTAGCAAAATCTACGGATATAGGGTAGGTGTGTTGGTGGAGAATAATTGGCATGTCATCGAGATAATACTGTTTTGCTATTCCTATTTAATCACGGTTTGTCATGTAGAATTCTTGTCATGTATAATTTGACATGCAAGTTTTTCTCGTGTTTGTGAGCTACCTTTTTATTTTTTTCTTATTTTAAAAATCTCATACTTTTTTATTTAATTTTTTTCTAATATAAGAGATTTTTTTTTTTAAGGTAGTAAACAAACGATAGTATAAACTATAAAGGAATGGTGATTCAAACTTGAGACCAGTGTTTGCAAATCAAAGTTTTTTTCAACTAGGTTAGAGCATCTCCAAGAGTGTAGGCAAAATTGTAATATAACAACTTAGGTGGCATGTTGCCTACACATTTGCCTCATGAAAAAAGTTGGTCACTTCAAGGGACTATGCAATGCAAGTCTACATACTATTATTATATTATTTATTTGTATTTTTTACATTTATTATTATATTTTATAAAAAGTAGGTAAGAGAGAGGAGATGATATTTTATTATATAAAACAAGTGGGGTTTAACATACCTCTTCTCTTTGAAGTATGCAATATTTGCCTTGTTGGGGAGAGAATGTATCTTTTGCCTACCTATTTCCTTATGAAAATGCTGATATGATAAGACAAATGAGGTTTACTTACTCTTTTACTTCATCCCTTAGAGATGCTCTCCGTTGGTATATTAATTTTACTTTTGGAGTTTGGGCCCCAACATCTAGGACTTGATCTGCATCAAGGGAAAAAAAATCCTGGAATTTAATAATTGGAAATGTCCAAACTACCCCTGGAATTTTATGGGAGTAGAAGCACCAAGAAGGGAGGGTCCATTGGTATTTGTCTTGAAATTTTGTAAACAGTTGGGTTCCTTTTCTCAAGATTTTGCAAAGATAAGAGGACTGTATGAAAGTCACAGCCACCATACCGCTCCCAAGCTCCAACTGAACTTCAACTGCAAGTTGGCTAGTGCTTTTATAAAAGGGAAGGAAGCAAACAAGAAAAAGAAAAGAGAGAAGAAAAATGAACTCACTCTAGGTTTTTTTTCTTCTTTAATTAGAATTTTTTTTTGCTTTTGAATAATTGAACAAATTCTTTTTTCTCAGCTGATAGTTAGGTACCACAATGAATGACCCCTATAGTTGAGAGACTTAAAGATGTAATTTGCTAGCATACGTGGTTAGGTTAGTTAACCAAGGTAGTTTGCGTGTCCCTTTACATCTAAATTCGATCCCCTTTCGTATACATATATTAGAGTAGTTTACAATATCGTTTTGTCAAAAGAAAAAAAGAAGTAATTTGCTATAAATAATATACAACTTCTCCTTGAGAGATGATTTTAGCACTTCAAATATCCCTTCCCACAGTCTTATGCTCTTTCACGCATGAGAAGTGCATGTGGTTATTTAAGTAGTGACGTTGAAGTGCCAAAATCATGCAACTTATAAATCTTTTTGACCTAGCTAGTATAGGTGTTTTTTTTATAATACAAACGATACTCTAAACTATAAGGAGATGATGATTTCTTACACACATTACATACTACTAATGTGTCATGAGAGTTCGACTTGAGATCAATGATCTGCAAATCAAGGCCCTTTTTCACTGAGCTACAGCCCCCGTTGACTAGCTAGTATGGATTTAGTTATTCTAACTAGACCCTTTAGTTTTTTTGTTCTTCTATGTCAAAAGATTTGGCCGCCACACCAGTAATCTTGCACACACGTTTTTCATACACACAAAACCTCTTTAAGGAAAAGCCTAAATGTTGTTATCCATTAAGCAAAAGATGGAGTGGCTTTAGTTTTCTAACAAAGAAATAGCCATCATTTTGTGAAACATTAGTCTCACAAAAATCCCTTGATGGTCAAAACGAAAATTAAATATGTGTTTCCCGGTTTGGTGCAATGTATTTATGTGCTTTTGATAGCCTTTCAAAGAATTCTCAACTGCAACTTGACTTAGTGGCCTCAGTGCCTTCACTGTGATGAGAAAAAAAAGGGTTAATTGTAAATTTACTCCTTGAATTTGTATGTTAATTTTAATTTGCATCATTTTTTTTTTTTTGAAAAATTAAGTACACGAACTAATTTTTGTTGCCAATTCCCCCCTACCGTTTAAATCTCAACATATTTTTTTTGGAAAAATTTGAAGAAAAAGATAACCAAAAAAAAAAAAAAATCCTAGAGACCCACAGAACACAAACCCAGAACCCCCTACTATATTTTCTTCTCCTCCCATTTCCCATGTTCCACCACCCATCACAAGCCACCCTCCACCCCCAGAACAATCCCCACAAGTCCCCGGCTATACGAAAATCAGTCGAAATGTTGAAACTTGATTACAATTGAGTTTATTTGAGATGAAAGGTTTTCACTTGATCAAACTAGATGCATGAAAAATGAATTCGAAATAGCCAAATTGCTTATAATCCCTTTGTTTCGTTATTGTGCAAACCAAAATTTGTGAATCTGACACTGAGAACCTCTTTGATTCTTCTAAAAAGATGAAACCCAAGTTCAGTTGAGTCGAATTCCACTACCCATATCCAAAATGAAGCATTTCAACGAATACACCAAACACATCACAAAGTACAAATGATTGGATTTTCTGATGGCAATTTTCTATGTGGATAAGTGTCTTCGCGAGGATTTGACCCTAGTGGGTAGAGTATGAAGGATAAAAAAAATGGATATAGAGACAGAGAAGGGAAATTTTTTGGATATAGTGTTCTGGGAGGGGCGGGGATGGTATTTTAATCCTTGACCTAAATCCTCCCCATTTAGAATATATATATATATATATAAA